GCAAAAAGAGCCTCATTTTTCTTTTTGCAGAGAGCCTATAAACGGACGTGCAAGTAGGAGAGATATCGCTAAATTCTTTTCATAGCAAGGAATATTAATATTAATACCCTGGGAAAGGAATGTCTTCCTGGGGGGAGGTCTGTAAACGGCCAACTCTGGGAATGTCTGTCTTATGTGGTTGAGATAAGGAATGAAATATGCACTGGTCTCTTGTAGTACCCTCAGGCTTACTTAGGGTGGGGAAAATCTCTGCCCTGGTAAATTTGTGGTCAGACCGGTTCTCTGCTCTCGAACAATGTTCTCTGTTATTTAAGATGTTTATCAAGACAATATGTGCACGCTGAACATAGACCCTTATCAGTGGTTCTACTTTTGCCCTTTGTCCTGTTCCCTCAGAGGCATGTAATCTTTGTTAGACCCTTCTAGTAGTTCTGCTTTTTGCCTTTTGAAGCAAGTGATCTTTGTACCTACTCCCTGTTCTTACATCCCCTCCCCTTTTGAAACACTTAATAAAAACTTGCTTGTCTGAGACTCAGGTGGACATCACAGTCCTACCAATACGTGATGTCACCCCTGGTGGCCCATCTGTAAAATTCTTCTCTTTATACGGTCTCTTTTTATTTCTCAGCCAGTTGACACTTATAGAAAATAGAAAGAACCTATGTTGAAATACTGGGGGGGATTCCCCCAATAGAAGTATGGGCTTCCTGGAACAAGAAATGTCTGAGCTGAGACTGGAGGACTAAAGGAGGGAATGAGGTAACATGGGAAGAAAGGTAGGAGTGTTTCAGGCCAAGAGAATGGCATGTTGGCTGGGTACAGTGGCTCACGCCTGTAATCCCAGCACTTTGGCTGAGGTGGGCAGATCACTTGAGGTCAGGAGTTCAAGACCAGCCTGGCCAACATGGTGAAACCCCATCTCTACTAAAAATACAAGAAAAATTAGCCAGCTATTCGGGAGCCTGAGGCAGGAGAATGGCTTGAACCCAGGAGGCAGAGGTTGCAGTGAGCCGAGATTGCACCACTGCACTCCAGCCCGGGCAACAGAGTGAGACTCTGTCTCAAAAAAAAAAAAAAAAAAAAAAAAGACAGAGAAAGATAGAGAATGGCATGTGCTAGGTACAGAGGAGAGAGAGAAGTGCTGTGGCCTGGGGATGGCCTGGAATCAATGTGGCTGTCCTGAGGTAGGATCCCAGAGGAAGGACAGGTTTGGGGAGATATGGGGCCAGTATAAAGGGGCTGAAAGGGGGCTTGACTGTGATGAGGAGAGCACAGGCATAGTGACCCCCATCTGGGGCTCCAGATGGAGGCTGGGGCTGGGACAGATGTGTGGGCAGACTCTGCAGGTAGGCAAACTGAAGCTGCGAGCTAGGTGAGATGGTCCAGGGGGCAGGAGGAGTGGAGTGAGGAGCTGAGTCCCAGTTCTGAGGACAACAGAAGGAAAAAAGAGGAGACAGGCATGGGAGAGAGATGGAAACACAGTGAAGGGAGCCCCACCTCTCCCAACAGTGAAGGGAGCCCCACCCCTCCCAACACTCACCTTGGTCTCCAGAGTCCCTTCCTCCTCCAGAACCAGATCACTGTCATCAGTGTGCACAATGGGGCCCTGGGGTAGGGATCTTAGTGAGAAGGAATAGTCAGAGGATCTCCCCACCCCAATGCCAGACCCCAAGGACCTTCAGCCAGCCAGTGGAGGCCAGGCAGGATAGAGTAAGAGCACCCGAGTGCTGGGGACTGCACTCAGGACAATAAAAGGGCTGTGAGAAGCCAGAGCAGTGGCTCATGCCTATAATCCTAGCATTTTTGGAGGCTGCAGTGGGAGGATCACTTGAGGTCAGAACTTTGAGACCAACTTGGCTAACAGGCTGGAACCCTGTCTCTGCTAAAAATGCAAAAAATAGCCAGGTATGGTGGCAGGTGCCTGTAATTTCAGCCACTCAGGAGGCTAAGGAATGAGAATCGCTTGAACTGGGAGGTGGAGGGTGCAGTGAGTCAGGATCATACCACTGCATTCCAGTTTGGACGACAGAGCAAGACTTTGTCTCTAAATAAATAAATAAATAAAAGGCCAGGTGTGGTGGCTCACACCTGTAATCCTAGCACTTTGGGAGGCCAAGGTGGGTGGATCACAAGGTCAGGAGACCGAGACCATCCTGGCTAACATGGTGAAACCCCGTCTCTACTAAAAAATACAAAAACAAAACAAAAACAAAACATTAGCTAGGCGTGATGGCGGGCGCCTGCAGTCCCAGCTACTCGGGAGGCTGAAGTAGAAGAATGGCGTAAAACCGGGAGGCAGAGCTTGCAGTGGAGCTTGAGTTCGACGCCACTGCACTCCAGCCTGGACGACAGAGCAAGACTCCGTCTCAAAAAAAAAAAAAAAAAGGGCTGAGGGGATATAGTGGGCCTAGGGAATAATCGGGTCAGGGGCATGGACTTGGGTGACATTTGGGTGCGGGGTCACTGTTAAGACTAGAGCCCTCAGGCTGGGCGTGGAGGCTCATGTCTGTAATCCCAGCACTTTGGGAGGTCAAGGCGGGTGGATCACTTGAGGTCAGGAGTCCGAGACCAGCCTGGCCAACATGGTGAAACCCAATCTCTACTAAAAATACAAAATCAGTCAGGTGTGGTGGCAGACGCCTGTAATCCCAGCTACTCAGGAGGCTGAGGCAGGAGAATCACTTGAATCAGGGAGGCAGAGGTTGCAGTGAGCTGAGATTGTGCCACTATACTCCAGTCTGGGTGACAGAGTGAGATTCTGTTTAAAAAAAAAAAAAAAAAACTAGAACCCTCCTACTTAAAAAAAAAAAAAAAAAAAAAATGGAGACAGGGTCTTGCTCCGTTGCCCAGGCTGGAGTGTGTGGTGCAGTCATAGCTCACTGCAGCCTCTACCTCTTGTGCTCAAGGGATCCTCCCACCTCAGTGTCCTGAGTAGCTGGGACTATAGGTGTGTGCCACCATACCCGGTTCATTTTTTATTTTATTTCATTTTATTTTGTATTTTTGTAGAGATGGGGTCCCGCTATGCTGCCCAGGCTGGCTTCGAATTCCTGGCCTTAAGTGATCCTTGTGTCTCCACCTCCCAAAGTGGTATTACCAAGGTCAGGCACCATGCCCGGCCTTAGAGTCCTGTTTGAATCTGGGGGCCCTCTTGGGACTGGGCTATTATTTGGGTCTGAAGGCACAGTCGGGTCTGGAGACCCTGGCATCCTACCCGGTCCTTGCAGCGGCCTGTCTCCTCTTCTTCAGGGCCTCGCGAACTGCAGCCGTCGCTGCTGCCGGGGATTCGCATCAGGTTATTTTGCTCGGAGAAAGAGGCTGAGGCTGAAGAACAGCGACGGGTGGAGTTAAGCGATGGACGGGGTCACAATGTGTGCAGAACAATAAGCGGGAAGAGAGAGGACTGGGAACTAATGAGGCGGATCGGGTGGGGATGTTGGAAACCAATAAGAATCCTTCCCACCTAGGAATGTGACCCTGGGAAGGTCTGGTTAGGGCTTAAGGAGGGAACCAGAACCTCAAGGCGAACTAAGCCCTGAGCAGAGCTGGAAATGGGACTGGAGCCAAGGCCCAAGGCCAGGTCAGGTCACTGGGCAGGCAGGGTGTGTGTGGGGCTGGCGCCTGAGGAGCTGGGGCGGGGCTCAGGCACTAACCCTTGCCGTGGCACCAGCAGCAGAGGGCCACCCCAGTGATGACCATAAGGAGAGTCGTGGTGGCAGCGGCCACTCCGGCCACTATCCGCACAGTGGGCAGCAGGTCTGCAGGGAGCAGAGGGGACATCCTGAGAAGGCTGAGGGTGAACCAGGAAGCAGGGGCTCAGGGATTGAGTTTGGGATCCCTGGGTTCAAAAGGTTGCACATTTGGAGATCCAAAGGCCCTTGAATTTGGGGTTCCCCAAGTTTGAGAGTGAGTTTAAACTCCCTGGCTTTAGAAGTCTTGGAGTTTGAGGGGTCCTTTACTTTGCAATTTGCTTTGCAATCGTTGGAGTTTCTCTTTTGGGGTCCCTAGGTGTGAGGAGTCTTCTGGTTTAGGATTCAGAATGTGAAGGCATTTGTGGTTGGGGGGGTCTTGGGAATCAACGAGCCACAGTTTTGAGACTCCCAAGGTTTGGAGGTCTCTGCATTTGAGGGTCTGAGGTTTTGCAACCATCGGCTGGGGGATCCCTGAGTTTGTGGGGTTTAGACTCTCTAGATTTGGGGTCTTCGGGCGGGGGTCTCACCTCTACGGCCCAGGCTGGGCCGGGCACCTCCTCTCCCAGCCGGTTCCCGGGCACTGCAGTTAAAGTTCCTGCTAAAGTCAGATTCCTGAGTCCCCGAAATGTGTAGCACAGAGATCAGGCCCGGACCCTGTCCCCCGCGGCTCTCCCAGGCAGGGAATGTCTCCACCAGGAACCCGCCCCGCGACCCTGCCTCCAGAAAGCCCTCATCCCAAGACCAGACCTGGGGCATAAAAGAGTGAGGACACCAAGGAGACTGAGGAAGGGAGGAAGAAGCAGGAGGGATGTCTGGGAAGGCAGAGATGGTCACAGTAGTTTCGGGGGGCCAGGTGGGAGGTCAGGGATCACGGCTGGATGGGTCACGGAGGAGTGATATTTCCTTACCACGGCATCTGGGGCGGGAGAGGCGAAAACCAGACACTGGAGGCGAGCAGGGCCCCTCAGGAAGGCAGGCTCAGAGTGCAGGGCGGTCACTACTGGGGGAGCTGGGATGGAGACGGTGGGTCACTCAGAGGAGAGGCCTTGCTCTCCGCAAAGGCTGTAACAAAGCCTGGTCTGGCCAGCGCACTCTCCGCTAACCTTAATCAGTCAGGCCATGCTGCCTCCAAACTCCGATTCCCCTAAAACCTCGCCTTTAATAGGTCGGTCTCCAGGCCCCGCTGGGTGTAAAGCTCCTTCCAGGCCACTCCCACTGCATTAGCCCTTGCCCCTCTGTCCACTCCCTATCCCAGGACGGGCTAGGTCCCCTAGGAAGCGCGCCTTCTCATCCTTCCAGTCAGCCGAGCCTCCGCGGCGCCGCCCCACTGGCCCGAGAGCCCAGGCTCAGCCCTGCACACATAGTCGCCTTCCTCCTCCGGCCCACCGACAGAAGGCGCAATGTGGCTCCAGAGCCCAGCACCTGCGACAGGGAAGGGACGTCAGAAGCCGGATTTGCAAGGAAGCCTGGTTCCCCGCCAGCCACCGCCTCAGATTTAGGGCTGCACCTGCGCGCCACCGCGGCGGGTCCACGTTACCCGTGGAAGCGGGTTCCAGCGCCAGGCGCAGCTGAAGGAGGCGTCTTCCCCCACGTCCACGGACAGGGGCTCTGGCTTTGCCTGCGAATCGGCCCAACTGGACGAAGGAGATGAGGGTCACAAGGCCGGGAGGAATGCAGTCCCTGACCCGGGATCAGCCCCATAGAAACACCACACCCTAGGGGCAAGAATATGCCCCAAGTCCACTCTTTCTTTCTCCTAATACCCCACGCCCACTCTCCCGGCCCTGCCCTTCCAAGCCCGCCCTCAGCAACCCTGAAAGCCTCGCCCACCTTTGACCCCACCCACAGCCCCGCCCCAGCTCACACAGCACATCCAGCGCAGTGCTGCGGTGGGCGCTACCCACGGCATTGCTGACCTCGCAGACACGGGCTCAGTCAGGAACGAGGCGTCTGCCACGACCTCCAACTTGGCCCGCGGGCCCCGAGCACCGGGGAGCCCCCTTTTGCCCACCTGAGGAAATGGTGGCGCTGTTACCTTGTCCCTGCTCTCCGGCACACCTACTCAGGTCCCAGCCCTTCCCAAGCTCACTCTTGGGGCTAGGGAGAGGTGGTCTTCGTCCTCACCTGTAGCCTGTGACAGGAGGCTGGGCTGTGGCCTGGCACAGGAAAGTGACCTTCTCTCCCTCCTGCACAGTGTGTGGTGAAGCAGACAGAGTCACCTCTGGGGGGTCTGTGAGGGTGGGACAATGGTCAGGTGGGCAAGGACCAGGAACACCTCTGTCACTGGCCTAGGGGTCCAGTCCCTGGTTCCTCCACCCCAGGAGTCTGGGCCCCTAATCCCCTTCTCCCTTTGAGTCAGGAGTCTGGGCTTTCAGTTCCCAATTCCCCCAGTTACTTCTATCCTTCCTACTCTCCAGATGTGAGAGTCAAGGCCCAGCTTCCTCTTTCCCCAGGGACCCCCAGCCATCTGTCCTCTCCTGCTCGGAGTCTCACTCTGTTGCCGAGTGGCAGGATCTCAGCTCACTGCAACCTCTGCCTCCGGGTACAAGTGATTCTCCTGCCTCAGCCTCCCAGGTAGCTGGGATTACAAACGTGTGCTACCATGCCTGGCAAATTTTTGTATTTTTAGTAGAGACGGGTTTTGACATGTTAGCCAGACTGGTCTCGAACTCCTGAGCTCAGATGATCCGCCCGCCTCGGCTTCCCAAAGTTCTGGGAGTACAGGCATGAGCTACCATACCTGGGCCTCTCCTGCTCTCTTAGATCCAGGAATCCAGGTCCCAGTTTCCTCATTCCCCAGGGGCCACAGTCCCTCCTTCCTCATACCCAGGAGTCAGGGCCCCACACCCCTCTTTCCCAGGGCCAGCTGCACTCACACTGCAGGCTCAGTGTGATAGCTGTGTCCCTTCCTGCAGGCAGGGCCTGGCTCCGGGCCCTGCAGACCAAGGTGGCTCCATCATCATTGCTGGAAGGGGTCAGGGTTAAGGTGCTCTCCACTGATCCAGGGGTCCCTTCCTTCAGCAGGGTCTGGAGGGATGGATAAGAATAATAATGCCATCTACCCCTTACATCAGGGGTGTCCAATCTTTTGGCTTCCCTGGGCCATATTGGAAGAAGAATTGTCTTAGGCCATACATACTAACACTGATGATAGCTGATGAGCTAAACAGTTACAAAAAAGTCTCATCATGTTTTAAGAATGTATATGAATTTGTGGTGGACCACATTCAAAGCCGTTCTGGGCTGCATGCAGCCCACAGCAACAGGTTGGATAAGCTTGCCTTACTTATATAGGGTTCACTATGTGTTGGGCACTCTTCTGGGCATTTATAGGTATTTATTTATTTAATCCTCACCATACCCTATGACATGCATGCTATTATTATTCCAATTGTATAGATAAGGCAACTGAGGCACAGAGAGGTTAACTAAAGATCAATCAACTAGCAAGTGGCTGAGACATGATTTGAACCCCGGTAGTCTGGCCCTAGAATCTTTACCCTGCATCATATTTCAAGAGTCCAAACCCTTGAACCCCTGCCCTCCCATGTCTTCTTCTCCTCGGGATGAGCCTGTGGTCAGAGTGTACCCCAAGTTTTCCTGAATGGGCAATGGCTAGCACAGGAATTTGGACCTGACCTGATGGAAGGTGGTTCCATCCAACCGGACCCCATCTCGGAACTACAGCAATTCAGGGGTAGGGCGGGCATCCCCAAGGCTCTGACATGTCAGGTTCACAGGAACTCCAGCAATGAGAGACACAGAGGGGCCGCCCAGCACCTGGGGGACTTCTGGGGGGACTGCAAGGTGGATTTGGGGTCAGAGATGGATCCTGATCCTCTCAGCTCCAATTGACCACTCCCCTGGGCTCCCTGGACTCTGCTACTCACAGCTAATACTGGCTGCCCCCTTGGGCTCCCAGGGGACAAGTGGGTGAGGTCCTTACCCAGCACGTGCAGTTGGGCTGGTCTCGAGCGGAGGCCTGCTTGTGTAGCCTGACATTCATATGATGCTTCATCCTCTAGCTCCACGGGCCTAATGTGGAGGTCATGCTGGCCATTGGCTGCATTCCCTGATATCCAGTACCGGGACCACCCTGGAGTCAGGGAGGAGGCAGCACGCCATGGTTCTGACCGGTCCACACATTTGGTGGTAAGACACTATTAAAGAGTGTGTACTGGGCCAATAGAGACTCTAACTCCCTCCCAACCCAGAGTCACTGCAAACTTGGTGGTAATAAATTCAGAAAGGAAAGCAAGAAAATGATTGCCATGAAAGTTAGGTTAGATACTACTTCTGGAGTGAGGGGGAGGGGGGCTATGATAGGGGAAAGGAATACGGGGGCTTCTGGGGAGCTGGCAGTGGACTTGGGTATTGGCTGTGTGAGTGTCTATATTATTTGGTAAACCTTCCGTTTATGTTTACTGTATTTTTTGCATTTATGTTCTCTTTCTTTCTTTTCCTTTTTTTTTTTTTTTTTTTTTTTGAGACAGGGTCTCACCATTACCTGGAGTGCAGTGGCTTGATCATGGCTCACTGCAGCCTTGAACTCCTGGGCTCAAGCAATCCTACCACTCAGCCTACTGAGTAACTGGGACTACAGATGCACATCACCATGCCTGGCTAATTTGTTTAAAAATATATATATTTTTTCTAGAGATAAGGTCTTGTTATGTTGCCCAGGCTGGTCTCAAACTCCTGGTTTCAAGCTATCCTCTGGCCTCAGCCTCCCAAAGCGTTGGGATTCCAGGCGTGAGCCACCGCACCTGGCCTGTTTACTATTTCGCAATAACATAATAATTCCAAAACTCTATGGGTCACCCTCAAAGAAGCAGCTCAAAAATCAGGACTCCTAAATGTTTACCCAAGCCCATCAATTTCCCAAACTTAAAATGTCAAAATAGAAACTGCAGGTACAGCCGAGCCCAGCAACTCTACCCCTAGCCAGCCCGTCCCAGCGTGGAGAGAACCGTCTTACCTAGCGGGTCCCTTTGGCCCCCTAGGGCCAGCCCACTCTTAGTCCACTGAACTAGCCCCCAGTAGGCGCCCAGAGCACACCGCAGCCGGGCTTCCTCCCCCAGCAGCACCACCAGGTCCTCTGGCTGTTGCAGGAAATGGGGCGACGGGTCTAGGAAAGTTGGGGGCAGCAGGGCTGAGCTTAGCACCTTCAAGAGCCCCCTCATTCAGGACCCAGGGGTCCCAGCCCCCAACTCCCTTCTCCCTAGTGAAGGGGCAGCCCGCAAGCAATCCCCCCACACCCACCCCATATTCATCCGCTCCCTTCGTGGGGTACCTGCGCTCCCTCTGAAGCAGAAGAGCAGGACGAGGAGGGCGGGGACCGGCATCCTGAGCGTGTGTCCCCCAAGGTTCACGAGATTTGCAGTCGCACGGGCCTCCCTGTCAACTTCTTCCTCGGAAGCACTCCTCCTGTCACCCTGGCCCGGAGCCCCCTTCGCGCTCGACTCTTCGCCCCAGCCTAGAGAACCCCTGTCTCTGGCCTGGAGTCCTCCAAGTGAGCTCATCCGCAGCCTCTGACGCTCTGAAACGCCTGCCAGTTCCGCGCCCTGGGTCTCTGGGAGACCCCAAGAGGGCCCAATCCAGATCGCCCCGCCCGGGTCCGCCTCCTGGGAGCTCCGCCCTCTTCCCATTGAGAAACTCCCGGGGCTGGACGCGGATGAATGGGGGATGCAGGGCGGGGTCCCCCGGCGGGTGGACGCCCCCAGTTCAATTGGGGTCTGGGAGCCAGAACACCTGGGTTCCAGGAGGGGGTCCGGGCTGGGTTGGACACCTGCGCCCTGCCAAGGTTGAGGGGCAGGCATGGGGGTGAGGAGGAGGGAAGGGAAAGAGTGGAAGAAACTTGCTCAGCCCAGGTCCTGGAGGGACTGCGCTCAGTGGAAACCGAGCTATAAATGGGGGCCTCTGGGGCCTCGCCACTTTCCGCGCCCTGGGGAGGCGGGGTCCGGGGCTCCTCTGGCCTGCGGGTCGGGAAGAGGGCACGCCATACCTGGGGGACAGTTGGGACCCCTGCCTTGACTCCCCCAGCCTCAAAACCCCTCCTCAAAGTGGGGAACAGAGGGCTGTTCCCTTGTTATGGCTGCAAACGTCCTAAGACCGAGGAATCCAGGACCCCGGCCCCTCCTTTCCCAGGACCCCGCAGTCCCGGCCCAGCCCCTCTCCCCACTCCGCTGGCCGGGCACCTCGGCCTGGTTGCCTGGCGACGGCTGGGAGGCGGCCGTGCCTGGCCAGGGCAGGCAGGGAGGCTGGGAACCGCGCAGCTTGTCCTGAGGCTCCATGCAGCCCAGCTGGGGCGTTCCCACGCTGCGCAGCTGGCCAAGCAGGTGGGAGGGACCCGAGCAGCCTGAAGGAGGGCTGGGGAGCTGGGACCCTGATCTGACATTCCTGGACCTGTAAGAACTGGGGGGTCCACATTCAGATTCTACGCTGTTCTTAGGCTCAGACTCTGTGTCCCTAAATGGCGGGGTGGGGTTGGGAGTAGGGGTTGGACTTACAGGATTGTAAGGGACTGGTGGTTGAGGCCTTTGCTGGCTGAGACGCTGATGGCCTGATCTCCTGGTTCCTTGAGAGGCTGGAGACTCAACTCCTAGGTCTCCTGCTTGCAGCATGGTGCACTTGGAAGAGGGTGACAGGGGTCAGAATATCTGGTCTTAAGTCTTAGAGTCGGTGGATTTAACTGCCAATCTCTCCCCACCCCCACATGGGCCCAGGAGGATTTGGAAATCAGACGGTGAACATCTGTCCTAAGTCGTGTGTGTGTGTGTGTGTGTGTGTGTGTGTGTGTCTGTGTGTGTGTGTGTGTGTGTGTGTATGGGGCTGGTGGGGGGCGGGGAGATGCAGGGGCGGGTAGGGTGGCCAGGAGGATCAGAGGCCCAAATTCCTGAGTCCTTGGAGAGAAGGGACTGAGACCCCAGGGTCTGAGAGGGGAGGGGTCTGGGGGCCTACACTCCTGGCTTCTATGTGGCATATCTAGTGCATGGATTTTGAAATAGAATGGCATGGGCCCAGAACTCCTGAGTCTTGGGGAGGAACTCAAGTAGTGGGACTGTTTTTCCAGGCACTTGGTGCAGCTTCCCCTTCCTGGCTCTCTGGGGCCATGTACATGGAAAGATGGAGAGCCCAAGGTCCCAAGAGCACTGGGAGAAGGAAAACAGACAAGGTGGAGGGTGGAAGGTTTGTGCTAATTAAAGGCCCCAGCAAGGGACAGCTCCATGCTCTGGCCCCTTGGGTCACCATCTGGCAAGGGCCCCCAGGAAAGAGCCACCGCCCCCCTCAGCTCGACATCCAGCCCATTTCCCAGGGGGTGTAGGGGGCAGTTGGGAGAGGGGAGGTGGGAGGAGGGCAAGGGGTCAAGCATGTGAGGGAAGAGGGAAGGCCAGCATGGAGGATGAAGCTGGGGGCTGGGGCCAGATGCCTCATCTGGTTCCTGGGGAACGAGACGCAGGTGGGGCCGAGTTCTTGGGGAGGCGGGGAGAAAACTAGCATTTCCGATTCCCGCAGGAGATAAGCAGGCAGAAGAAGCTTATCCCAGGCGAGTGTATGTGCACGCGTGGAGGGCAGGCCCACCAGCATATGGTTATAAAATCCAGGGATGTGATGAGGGGAGCCACTCAGAGATGGAGAGACACATAAGAGAAAGAGGCGTGGTCAGGTGTGGCTAAGAACAAATATTTATGGAGCTCCTGGTGTGTGTAGACAGAGTGTGGGGTGAGAGGAGCGACAGAAGTGAGAACAGAGACAGAGAAACAGAAGAACAGAGACATGTAGAGACGGAGAGACAGTGAAATAAAGATTGACTGAGACTTAACCACTTAATACAGAGAGAGAAAGAGTCTCAAACAGATGGAGAAACATAGAAAGATAAATCGGCTGGACACGATGGCTCACACCTGTAATCCCAACACTTTGGGAGGCTGAGGTGGGCGGATCACTTGAGGTCAGGAGTTCAAGACCAGCCTGATCAACATGGAGAAACCCCGTCTTTACTAAAAATACAAAAAATTAGCCAGGCGTGGTGGTGCATGCTCGTAATCCCAGCTACTAGGGAGGCTGAGGCAGCAGAATCACTTGAACCCAGGAGGCGGAGGTTGCAGTAAGCCGAAATCACACTACTGCACTCCAGTCTGGGCAACAAGAGCGAAACTCCATCTCAAAAAAAAAAAAAAAAAAAAAAAAGAAAGAAAAGAAAACAAAACAAAAAGAAAAAAAGAAAGACAAATCAAGGGCTGGGTGCGGTGGCTCATGCCTGTAATCCTAGTACTTTGGGAGGCCAAGATGGGAGGATTGCTTGAGCCCAGGAGTTCCAGACAAGCCTGGGCAATATAGCAAGACACTGTCTCTGCAAAAACATTTTAAAAAAATTAGCCAAGTGACCAGGCGCAGTAGCTCACACCTGTAATCCCAGCACTTTGGGAGGCCAAGGCAGGTGGGTTACCTGAGGTCAGGAGTTTGAGGCCAGCCTGGCCAGCATGGTGAAACCCCGTCTCTACTAAAAATACAAAAATTAGCCTGGTATGGTGGCTGATGCCTGTATTCCTAGCTACTCGGGAAGCTGAGGCAGGAGAATCGCTTGGACCTGGGAGGCAGAGGTTGCAGTGAGCCAAGATCGTACCATTGCACTCCAGCCTGGGTGACAGAGCAAGACTCCTTCTCAAAAAAAAAAAAAAAAAAAAAAAAAACCAGAATGGTGATGTGGGCCTGTAGTCTCAGCTACTCAGGAGGCTGAGGCAGAAAGAACACTTGAGCCCAGGAGGTTTGAGGCTGCAGTGAGCCATGACCACACCACTGCAGTCTAGCCTGGGCAATAGAGCAAGACCCTCTCTCTACAAACAAATTTTTAAAAGTTAGCTGGAGTGGTAGTGCGTACCTGTAGTCCCAGCTACTCAGGAGGCTGAGGCAGGAGGATCACTTGAGTCCAGGAAGTTGAGGCTGCAATGAACCAAGATCATGCCACTGCCCTCCAGCCTGGGCAACAGAGCAAGATTCCATCTCAAAAGAAAGGAAGATAAATCAAGATGGATAGAGGGAGGAAGAGAGAGAGACATGGAGAAGGAAAGAAGAGATGGGGGAGATGGCAAGAAAAAGAGACAGAAGAAAGCTCATGCAGTCCTTGCCAAAGGGCATCTACTCTGGGCTCACACTGCACCCATACTGGGGGCCGGCAGAATTGGACTCTGCCTTTTACTCCTGCCCACACCCTCTGCACTCCCATGTAGGACTCTGTCACACACACACACGCTCTCCATGTGCTTATTACAGATCACAGTTCACTCTAACCTTCCCCACTCTCACACCCATGTACACACACGGATATCTTCCCTCTCTCCTACAGTCTCCCAGTCTCTCACACTCACTCTTGCATACTCCCCAGCAGAGATCCCTGACATCATTTAGTCGCTAATGTCTACTCAAGAAAGGAAGGGAGGCTAGGTGCGGTGGCTCATGCCTGTCATCCCAGCATTTTGGGAGGCCGAGGCAAATGGATCACCTGAGGTCAGGAGTTCAAGACCAGCCTGGTCAACATCATGAAACCCCATCTCTAGTAAAAATACAAAAATTAGCCAGGCCTGGTGGTGTATGACTGTAGTACCATCTACTTGGGAAACAGAGGCAGGAGAATTGCTTGAACTTGGGAGGTTCAAGCCATGGGAGGTGGAGGCTGCAGTGAGCCGAGATCATGCCACTGCACTCCAGCCTGAGCAACAGAGCAAGACTACCTTGAGAAAAAAAAAAAAAGAAAGAAAGGGACTTCCCAAGGTCATGTATCAGGGCAGGGAAGAGCTGGGGGCCCAGCTGGCTGCTCCCCTGCTGAGCTGGGAGACCACCTAGGTCTGACTTCTCCCATCCTCCCAGCCTAAGCCAGGCCCTGGGGCCATGGAGGCTGGGGAGGCACCGAGGAACACGCCTGGCCTGTGCTGACAGGGGATTTTGTGCTCCAGCCCAGCTGGCTGGGAGGAGCCTGCTGGGCAGAGGCCAGAGCTGGGGGCTCTGGAGGGCACCTGGGGGAGGTTGCACTGTGAGGATGAGCTCAAGTTGGGTCAGAGAGCAGGGCCAACTCTGCCAGTGCCTGCATCAGCCTCATTGCTCTCCTGGGCTCCTGGCCTGCTAGACTCTGGGCTGCAGGTCCTTCTTGAGAGGCCGTGAGTAGTGAGACAAGGAGCAGGGGTGATGGGTGGCAGGAGAGAAAATAGAGACTGAGAGAGAGAGAGAGAGAGAGAACGAGACAGAGAAAAAATGAGAAAGAATGCCTTAGACAAAGAGAGAAAGATGAAAAGATAAAGAGACAGTCTAGGGACACTGGCTCATGCCTGTAATCCCAACACTTGGGAAGGCCATGGTGGGAGGATGGCTTGAGGGAAACAGTCTGAGATCAACCTGGCCAACATAGTGAGACCCTGTCTCTAAAAAAAAAAAAAAAGAAAAAAATTTTTTTAAAGGGACAGAGAAAGAGACTCAGAGATTGAGACTGAGAGAGCAAGACAGAGATAGAGAGACACTGACAGGAGGAGAGGAAAACAGAGAAAGGGAGGAGAGTAATGGAAAGAGAGATTTAAAAAAAGCAGATGGCAGAGACACAGAGAGAGGGACTCAGAGAGAGCCAGACAGACGCAGGTGGCTGGCTGCGGCCACTGTGGGGGTAACAGTAGGGGGACCCATGATGGCCCTGGGGACGATGCTCAAGGCTCCTCTCCTGCTCCTGGGGCTGCTGACTGAAGGTGAGTGGGATCCCAGCCTTGTACCCAGTGCCAAGTGGCCCCCATTTCCCACTTACCTTCCCTAGACAAACCCTCTGCCCTTTCCTTGCACCCTGCTGTGTCCCCAGGCCTGACACAGTTGGCGATTCCTGCCTCCATCCCCCAGGGCTTCTGGGCCCTGCCTGAAAACCTGGCAGTGGTGAAGGGGGCCTCGGTGGAGCTGTGGTGTGGGGTCAGCACCCCTGGCAGTGCGGTGCAATGGGCCAAAGACGGGCTGCTCCTGGGCCCCGACCCCAGGATCCTAGGCTTCCTGAGGTACCGCCTGGAAGGGGACCCTGCTAGAGGTAAGGGATCAGAGCCTGAGACCCTCAGCCACCAGCCCAAGTTGCAACCCTGACCTCCGGCTCCCCCTGCAGGTGAATTCCACCTGCACATCGAGGCCTGTGACCTCAGTGATGACGCGCATTATGAGTGCCAGGTCGGCCACTCCATGATGGGGCCCGAGTTCGTGTCTCCCAGAGTGATCCTCTCCATCCTGGGTATGGGTGACAGACCCCCAGGACCCACGAGTCTGGGCTTCAAGCCCTCCCTTACCCCAGGACCCAGGAGTCCAAGCCCCCAGTTTCTCCTCTCCCAGACCCTTGGTACCAAGCTCCAATCTTCAAATCCTTCTCAGTGCTGGAAGCTTACCCCAGACCCTTCTCACCAGTTCCTCCCAAGCTGCTCCACCTGACCCCGGAGGCAGGCACCATGGTCCCTTGGGTAGCTGGGCAAGGGTACGTGGTCAGCTGTTTGTCTGGGGACGCAAAGCCAGCACCTGACATCACCATTCTCCTGAGTGAGTGAGGGTGAACTGGGTGGCAGGGGGCAGCATGAAGCCTCTGGAGTGGGAAGGGTGTGTGTCCCTGACTAGTGCCCTCCTAAGGGCCCCAGAAAAGATGTCATCCCTGGGATGGGGAACCAGGAGAAGGTGTGAGGAGATGCTGAGGCCAGTGTGGGACACAGTGGATGGGAGGGCACATTGAGGAGGCGGCATCCAGCACAAGACTGAGGACCAGATAGAGATATGGGCAGTAGCGCTGGTGCAGACATGAGAAGCTGAGGGATGGGGTACATGGTACAACCCAGCAAGGAGTTGAGAGGAGTGGGGAGGCCCAGGACCCAGCACTGAAGATTGCAGCCTTCAGGCAGTCCAGAAAGTCGGGAGGGGATCCAGCTGTGCCCCAGGCCCTTGTCCTCTAGAACCAGGAGGGAGGGGGCATCACATCCACTCTGAGGACTTCCAGGCCATGCTCCCCAGAATCTATCTTGCGGGGAGCCCAGAACCCCTCTAGCCCTCTTGTTGCCCCAAGGTGGACAGACAATATCCGACATCTCTGCAAACATGAACGAGGGCTCCCAGCAGAAGCTCTTCACTGTGGAGGCCACAGCCAGGTGTGGAAACTGAAAAAAAACCCCAACCATGACCCCTAATTTTCCCCATGGGAACCACAGACCCCAGGGATGAAAGCATGAAGCTTGGGCTACGTATGAACATCTGCGACCCAATGCTTCTTCATGGGGAACTCTCAAAGCTGACTCTCAAAGCTTCTTCACAGGGAACAGGGGTGGTGGCTCATGCCTGTAATCTCAACATTTTGGTGGGCTGAGGTGGGTGGATCACCTGAGGTCAGGAGTTCAAGATCAACTGGTCAACATGGTGAAACCCTGTTTTCACTAAAAATACAAAAATTAGCCTGGCGTGGTGGCACATGCCTATACTCCCAGCTCGTCAGGGGGCTGAGGCAGGAGAATTGTTTGAACCCAAGAAGTGGAAGTTGCAGTGAGCTGACATCGCACCACTGCACTCCAGCCTGGGCGACAGAGCCAAATTCTGTCTCAAAAGACAAACAAATAAACAAAAAAACTTCATGGGAACCTCAGTTCCAGAGTCCCAGGCACTAAAGTTTGATCAGATGTGGGTCTCTCTAGGCTCCAGTTCTCGCTGCTCACTCCCAGAATCTCTCCCATGGAACCCCGGATCCCAGAGGAGATCGCCATGGGGACTTAGACCAGGTGTGGGGACCAGAGGCGGCATTCCCGCCTCTTCTCCCTGACTCCCCAGATTTCGGATGATGACTCTCATTCCAGAACCATGAATTCTCATCCCAGGGTGACACCCCAGAGCTCGGATAATGGGCAGTTGCTAGTCTGTGAGGCGTCTAGCCCAGCACTGGAGGCCCCCATCAAGGCCTCATTCACCGTGAATATTCTGTGTAAGTGGAGAACTGGGCCAACTAGGGCGCTGAGGATGGGGAGCAGGCACTGGGGGGTGTAGGGGAATCACAGGAATTATGGAAATTCAGGCACTCAGAGAAACATGGGGTTTCAAAAGCAGGTTGTGGGGCCTGGAAAGAGTGGATGGGCTACTCCAGGCCCATTGAGTGACTGATATCTCCCAGTCCCTCCAGGGACCCCCTGTCATCGAGTGGCCAGGCTTGGATGAGGGGCATGTGCGGGCAGGACAGAGCTTGGAGCTGCCATGTGTGGCCCAAGGGGGGAATCCCTTAGCCACACTGCAGTGGCTGAAGGTGAGGGCAGTCGCGGGCATGGGAACTGTGGGGAGAGCGGAGGCCGGGAGCTGGTCCTGAGCTGGCCCAGGCCTGTCCCTGTCTCCAGAATAGCCAGCCGGCGTCCACAGTGTGGGGCACAGAGCACACCCAGGCCGTGGCCCGCAGTGTGCTGGTGACGACCGTGAGGCCAGAAGACCATGGAGCGCGGCTCAGCTGCGAGGCCCATAACAGCGTGTCTGCAGGGACCCAGGAGCGCAGCATCATGCTGCAGGTCACCTGTGAGTCCTGGTGCCAGCTGCCCACCTGTCGGTCTGTGCCTCAGAGAACCATCTATGTGTGCCCCCAAATTATGCCTACTGGATGCCAAAGATCTCAGCATGTGTCTCCAGTCCTGTTGTTCTCTCTGGGCTGGTATGTGAGAAATTCAGCTCAGCTTAATGTCTTCCCTCTCTGTCCCTGCAGTTCCCCCTAGTGCCATTACTATCCTGGGATCTGCATCCCAGGTTGAGAACAAGAACGTGACACTCTCCTGTGTCAGCAAGTCCAGTCGCCCACGGGTCCTGCTACGATGGTGGCTGGGCTGGCGGCAGCTGCTGCCCATGGAGGAGACGATCATGGATGTGAGGCGGGGGCCAGGCTCCTGGGTCTGAGCATGGGGGGTGCAGGGCATGACTCGTGGATTGGGAAGGGGATGGGCCCAGCAGCCTGGGGGCTTTCTCCTTGAGGACCATGGGTCCGACAGAGGGGTGTTAGAGATGGCTCATGTGTCCCTGCTGGAGACTGAGATGGACTCAGGCCTCTAACACAATGGATGGGGGTGCTGCAGTCCCCACATCTGAAGCTCATTCCCTGCCAGGGATTACATGGTGGTTACATCTCCATGTCCAACCTGACATTCCTGGTGCGGCGGGAGGACAACGGTCTGACCCTCACATGTGAGGCCTTCAGTGAAGCCTTCGCCAAGGAGACCTTCAAGAAGTTGCTCACCCTGAACGTAAAATGTGAGTGTCTGCCCTTACCCAGCAATGCCCCCAAGCCTCAGGACCCAGCCCAGAGACAAAGTCACTCTTCCTGCCTCTCCTCTCAGATCCCGCCCAGAAACTGTGGACTGAGTGTGCCCCAGAGGGGCAGAAGCTCCGGGCTGGGACCCGGGTAAGGCTGGTGTGTTTGGCCATCAGGGGCAACCCAGAGCCCTCCCTCACATGGTACAAGGTTGGTGCCACCAGGGCTATGGGGGTGGCCAGGAATGTGGGGGAAGGACCAGGCCCCCTTCTTTCCTTCAGAATCTTGGGCAATCTTGGAAAAAGATTAAATTTCTGGAGATTCTGAGGTTTGGCAGGGAATCAGGAAAGACAAAAAATGCCATGAGAATTAAATGGAATCCTAGGAAAATTCTGGGGAAACAGAGTTCTAGGATAAAAATTGGAATTCTGAATCAAGATTAGGTATTCTAGAGAAAAGGTAATTTCGTTAAAATTAAGGAAAATTCTAGTGAAAAATCTCAGAATTCAGCTGAAATGTCAGGAATTTTAGGGAAAGACTTGAATCCCAGAAAAAAAGAAAAAGAAAAAGAAAATTTGGAGAAAAGCTAGTAATTCCACAGACTATCGAAAACTCATTAGTATTAAATCGAATTCTCGGGATTTGGAGGTAAGAAAATGAAATTTCGTTAAAATGAAAAAGAAGCCTAATTCTAAGAAAATCCTGAGAAGTTAGGGAGCTGGTTGAAAATGTTGGGGGGAAGACTAGGAATTATAGAAATGACAATGGAATTTCATTTTAATAGGATGGAATTCTGGGGAAGTGCTGAGAATCTAGGCAATATAAAGGAATCTGTTAAAAGACTGGGATTATAAGATATAATATCGGGAAATATTCAGAATCTATGGAAAGTTTAATTTGTGCAGCAGCAACAATAAAAAAAAAAAAAGAAAGTAATCTATGGAAAGGCACTGGAATTAAGGAAAATTTCAAAGGAAATCTTTGGGGACAGTGGGAATTTTAAGAAAAGGAATTGAGGCATTCTGGGAAAGGCCTGGGAATTTCAAGGGAGTTTCCTGCAAGTGGTGTTGGGTAAACAGAGCAGAAATAGATTTTGAGGAGTGCGCTGAGGGCCCGCAGGTGGCTGCAGAGGCGGAGCGGGGGTTTGGGTGTGGTACAGAAGACGGATTCAGATCCCCAAAACTGCCATGCACAGGGATCCGGGGAGGCGGGAGAGACTCCAGGGCAGGGGTTACTCAGTTCCACTCCCCACTGCTTTGCCCTAGGGGGGTGGCGCTGATGGCGGTGTTTCTCCGTATCACCAAAAGGCTTTGTCTGGGCTGGCAGCACCAACCCAGTGGGCAGGGTGCGGGAGTTGGGGGTTGGTGGAAGCAGCAGGGCTGCCTGCGGCCCCCAGTCACTCCCGCCCCATAGGACTCGCGCACTGTGACTGAGTCGCGGCTGCCGCAGGAGCCGCGGTGCATGCAGCTCGGCAACGTGGAGAAATCTGGGAGCACCTTCTCCCGAGAGCTGGTGCTGGTCACAGGGCCGTGGGACAACCAGGCCAAGTTCATGTGCAAGGCTGGCCAGCTCAGCGCGTCCACGTAGCTGGCGGTGCAGTGTGAGGGCGCGCACGGCTGAGGCCCGGGGACGGACTCCGCCCGGGCAGGACAGGGTGGAGGACAGAGCCAGGTGGGGCAGGGACCCAGCGAACCCTGGACTGGGGGGGGGGTGCGGGGGGGGGCGGGGGGGGTGCGGGTGGGGGCGGGGTGGGGCACCCGAGACTGGACGGAGCCTGGGGTGCAGGCGGGATGGACGCAGACCAGGCCGCCCCTAATCTCTGAGTCTCGCTCCTCCAACCCCCTCTCCCAGTTCCCCCAACTAACGTGACCATCCTGGCCAACGCATCCGCACTGCCCCCGGGGGACGCCTTAAACTTGACATGCATCAGCGTTAGCAGCAACCCGCCGGTCAACTTGTCCTGGGGCAAGGAAGGCGAGAGGTGGGAGTGTGAGGGACCCCGTCCCTCTCTGGCCTCGCCCCGATCCACGCATGTCCCGCGGGTGCCTAGCCCCTCTCCAGCCTCTGGCTCTGCTCGCAGCCCTGGCCTCACCCCGGGTCCACAGGCTGGAGGGCTTGGCCATCCCGCCCCGGAGAGCCCCGCTCAAAGGCTCCGCCACGGCCAGAAGCGTCCTTCTGCAAGTGTCATCCCTCCATCATGGCCAACGCGTGACCTGCCTGCTGCGCCCACAGCGCCGAGCTCCGCGAAACCGTGAGCTCCTTCTATCGCCTCAACGTCCTGTGTATGTGCCCCGGCCGGAAAGGTCCTCTTGATGCCTTCCTGACCCTAACCTACTCCTTGCGTCTCCGCCGCGCCCCCTGCCCCCCGCCCCGCCTTTTTTTTTTTTTTTTTTTTTTTTGATGGAGTCTGGCTCTGTCACCCAGGCTGGAGTGTAGTGGTGCGATCTGGGCTCACTGCAAGCTCCGCCTCCCATGGTTCACGCCATTCTCCTGCCTCAGCCTCCGGAGTAGCTGGGACTACAGTCGCTTGCCACCATGCCCGGCTAATTTTATTTTTGTAGTTTTGGTAGAGACGGGGTTTCACCGTGTTAGCCAAGATGGTCTTGATCTCCTGACTTGGTGATCCGCCCACCTTGGCCTTCCAAAGTGCTGGGATTACAGGCGTGAGCCACCACGCCCGGCTGGCTGGCTGGCTTCCTTCCTTCCTTCCCTCCCTCCCTCCCTCCTTCCCTCTCTCCTTCCCTCCTTCCCTCTCTCCCTCCCTCCTTCCTTCCTTCCTTCCTTCCTCTTTCTCTCTCTCTCTCTCTTTTTTGATGGAGTTTCCCTCTGTGGCTGGGGCTGCAATGCAGTGACGCAATCATAGCTCACTGCAGCCTCCAGCTTCTGAGCTCAAGTGATCCTACCTCAGCCTCCTGAGTAGCTGAAACTACAGGTGTGCACTACCACTTTTGGCTAGTTTTTTTTTTTTTTTTTTTTTTTTTGTAGCAACAGGGCCTCACTATGTTGCCCAGGCTGGTCTTCAACCCCTGGGCTGAAGCAATACTCCTGCCTTGGCCTCCAAAAGTGCTGACATTACAGGCGCATCCCACTACACTAGGCTGATTTTTTGTACTTTTAATTTTAAATAGAGATGGTATCTCTCTAAGTTGCCCAGGCTGATCTTCAACACCTTGACTCAAGTGATCCTCCTGCCTTGGCCTCCCAAAGTTCTGGGAGCAGAGGCGTGAGCCACTGAGCCTGGCCTGGGTCTTTGCTTTGACACTATCACTCTATCATTAACCCCATCCTGAAACTTGAAACTCCCTACCTTCATCCTGACCAGTAGTCCTGGGCCAAATCCTATCCTGTCCACTCCCATATTGCCTTTGTCCTCTCTCCTAACCCCGATCCCTATCATGACCCCTCTTTCCATCCTTCAACCTGATGCTGGCTTCTACTCTTTTCCTAAACTGTATTCTAATTTCTATCCCGAACTTTACCCTTGAATTCAGTTCTGAACTTATTGCCTTGTCCACAACCTTAAACCCGTAGTGATCTCCCCACTTTAACCCTTGAACCTGTGCCTGATCTCCAATCTGTCCTTGATCCTGACCTTGACAACAATCTTGACTCCCTGTGGCGCCCCCTCTGAAGACCGTCCAGAGTTTCTGGGGGAGCAGGTGCTGGTGGTGACCGCGATGGAGCAGGGAGAGGCGTTGCTGCCCGTGTCCGTGTCCGCTAACCCCGCCCCCGAGGCCTTCAACTGGACCTTCTGCGCCTATCGCCTCAGTCCAGGTGAGGGAAGTGGGCATGAGGAGGGGTCCCGGGAATGGGAGGGCCTGCCAGATCCTTTATTCTGGCCTTCCCCAGCGGGCGGCCCCCGGCATCGCATTCTGTCCAGCGGGGCTCTGCATCTGTGGAATGTGACCCGCGCGGACGACGGCCTCTATCAGCTGCACTGCCAGAACTCCCAGGGGACCTCGGAAGCGCTGCTGCGGTTGGACGGGCACTGTGAGTCCCGCCCACCATGGAAACCACACCCACCAAAGGAACCTTGCCCAATGTGGAGTCTCCTCCTTGTGGGAGCTCCGACCATCCGGGGATAGCCACCCATCCTGGAACCCTCCTGCTCTGGCTCTGGTAGTCCCCGCCGCGGTGTAACCACGCCCACGGCGGAACCCCTTCCACTAGAGAGACCCAGTGTGGAATCTCTGCCCAGAGAGGGGGCCGACGTAGACTGGGAAGCTGCTCCCGTCAGGAATGGGAGCCCATTGTAGAAGGCCCCCCTCACAATTCTGGAAGCCCACCCAACCCACTCTATCACAGAGGCATAGTGGAGGGTGGAGACAACCTCGCTAACCTTGAGAACTCTCCTCCAACTCTTTCGTATTAAGGGCAGATTGGGTCCACATCTCTAACTTTCCTGGAACTCCTAAGACATCCCACCCACCTGGGGCCCTCTCCCACAGAGACCTGTCTGGTCCCAAGTGCCTTCCCTAAGCCTCTGCCTTCCACCAGATGCTCCCACCATCCGTGCCCTCCAGGACCCCACTGAGGTGAACGTTGGGGGTTCTGTGGATAGTCTGCACGGTTGATGCCAATCCCATTCTACCAGGCATGTTCAGCTGGGAGAGACTGGTGAGGACCCAGCCTTTGGTGAAAGGAGGTGGGGTCCAAGGGTTGTGGTTTCTTGACTGTGAGTTCCTTGGGAGTGGGGACCACCTACATCTGTATGATCCTGTATAACTATATACTCGTCAGGGAATGCTCCCAGAACGAATAACTGTTGGTGGCAAAATGAATGGATGGATGAATGGTAGACAGTCAGGCGAGTGAGTGGGTAGATGGATAGATGGGTCGATAGGTAGGTAAGTGGATGAACAGGTGGATGAATGAGTGAGTGGATGGAGGAACAGATGGACAAATGAAAGGATGGATAAATGGGTGAGTGGATGGGTGAGAAGATGATTGAAGGAGAAAAATCAGTGGATAGAGGGTAGATGGATGAATGGATACACCAGCAGAGGAAAGATATCTATGGACGGATGATGGATGAATTGATGGATGGATGGGTGGAAAGATCAATGGAGAGATGAATAAATAAGTAGCTGGGTAAATATCTGAACAGATGCATGCATTTATGGGTGTGCAAGCATGAGTGAATAGTTGTGTGAATGGGTGCAGAGCTACAAGGGTGGATACATGGGTGCAGAGAAAGAAGACAAATGGGCGGAGGAATGAGTGAGTAAACCGATGAGTGGATGGAAAGATAAATGGATGAATGGATAGATAAGCAGATGGATAAATGGATGGATAGATGGTTGCAAGCATAAGTGGTTGGGTGAATGGATGGGTAGGTGGTTGCCTGGATTGGTGGATAAAAAGATGGATTGGGTAAATGGACAGATGGATGACAGGAGAATTTTTTTTTTTCTTCAGTACCTCTGTGGAGGATGATTGTGTCTAGGAGAATGAGGCTACAAAAGGGACAGTTTGGGCAGTGATGGATCTGGGGCTAGACTGGGAGGACAATTCTTGACTCGGGCCTCCGGGGAGAAGAGGAGGAGGACCAGAGCATGGATGACATGGAGAAGATATCCAAGGGACCCACGGGGCACCTGCAGATTCACCAGGCCAAACTGGCCCAGGCTGGTGCTTACCAGTGCATCGTGGACAATGGGGTGGCGCCTCCAGCACGAGGGCTGGTCCGTCTTGTTGTCAGATGTGGGTATCACCCAAACACCTGACTTTAAGACCTGCCACTGAACCCACAGCCCTCATGCCTCCCACATAGCTCATGTTGACCTCCCATCCCCTCCCAGTTGCCCCCCAGGTGGAGCACCCCACTCCCCTAACTAAGGTGGCTGCAGCTGGGGACAGCACCAGTTCTGCCACCCTCCACTGCCGTGCCCGAGGTGTCCCCAACATCATTTTCACTTGGACCAAAATGGGGTCCTTCTGGATCTCCAAGATCCCAGGTGAGCCCAGGCCCAGCCAGGCAGCACTCCAGCCCCAGGTCTGGACCTCCAGCCCCATTTCCCCTCCCTGAGTCCCTGCAGAGAAGGGTGCAGAGAAGGAAGATTAATGCATGGAGGAATGAGTGAGTGAATGGATGAGTGGATGAAAAGATTAATGGATGAATGGATAGATAGGCAGATGGTTAAATGAATGGATGTCTGTATAGATGATTCCAAGCATAAGTGGTGGGGTGAATGAAAGGATGAGTGGTGCCCTACCTTCTCTCTAGGTACACAGAGCACACATACCACCAGGGTGGTGTCCACAGCAGCCTCCTGACCATTGCCAATGTGTCTGCAGCCCAGGATTACGCCCTCTTCACACGCACAGCCACTAACCCCCTAGGCTCGGACCAAGCCAACATTCAATTCGTCAGCATCAGTATGGAGGGGCTGTGAGGGTGTTGGGGAGGGGGTGCTCCTTGGATCCATTCTCACATCCCTGATTGGCCCTGGGCTGCCCATGTTTCTGAAACCTGAGAATATGTGTATATGTGAGGCTGGAGTTTTTGCCTGCCCTGAAAATCCTAGTGGAGACTGGATCTTCAGGGAGACCCACAACAAAGGCAAAAGAAAAAGAAAAGAAAAGAAAAAAAAAGATGGAGAGGGGGTACTTATTAGCTCAAGTAACTGAAAAATAGATTTTCAGGGGTTTCTGGAGCTAGGTTCAGCTGTCATCAACAACTCTCCATTCTTTGTTGTTGTTGAAACAGAGCTTTACTCTTGTCACCCAGGCTAAAGTGCAATGGTGCAATCTTGGCTCCTTCTGGAGCCAAGCCTACCAAGTAGCTGAGATTACAGGCGCCCGCCAACACACCCAGCTAATTTTTGTATTTCTAGTAGAGATGGGGTTTCACCTTGTTGGCCAGGCTGGTCTCCTGACTTCAGGTGATGTGCCTGCCTCAGCCTCCCAAAGTGGTGGGATTACAGGTGTGAGTCATCACACCCAGCCCTCTCCATTGTTATGTTTGCATACCTCTGTGTTGGCTTTATTCTAAAGGGCCCTCATAGTGGTCTGTTAGATTCCCAGAGGAAACAGAATTCTTTCTCTTCCTAACAGTGGTATAAAAATACTAGGATTAGCCAGGTGTGGTGGCTCACGCCTGTAATCCCAGCACTTTGGAAGTCTGAGGTGGGCAGATCACAAGGTCAGGAATTTCAGACCAGCCTGACCAGTATGGTGAAACCCCGTCTCTACTAAAAAAAAAAAAAAAAAAAAAAAAAAAAAGCTGGGTGTGGTGGCGCGCACTTGTAATCCCAGTTACTCGGGAGGCTGAGGTAGGAGAATTGTTGAACCTGGGAGGTGGAGGTTACAGTCAGCTGAGATCGGGCCACTGCACTCCAGCCTAGGCAACAGAGCAAGACTCCATCTCAAAGAAGAAGAAAAGAAACCTAACCAAGCCAGGCGCGGTGGCTCATGCCTGTAATACCAGCACTTTGGGAGGCCAAGGCGGGTGGATCACCTGAGGTCAAGAGTTCGAGACAAGCCTGGCCAACATGGTGAAACCTCGTCTTTACTAAAAATACAAAAAATTAACTGGGCATAGTGGCGGGCACCTGTAATCCAGCTACTTGGGAGACTGAGGCAGGAGAATTGCTTGAACCCAGGAGGCAGAGTTTGCAGTGAGCCAAGATTGCACCACTACACTCCAGCCTGGGCAATAAGAGTGAAACTCTATCTAAAAAAAAAGAATGAAAAAAGAAAGAAACCTAACCTTCATTTTCCATAGAAGCAACCATTCGGTCTTGAATTTTTTTTTGCTGTTTCTTTTGGTTTTGTTTTCACTTACTTCTTTTTAAAATTATTTTTAATTGTAATGTTTAATTTGAGAAAGGGTCTTGCTATGTTGCCCAGGCTGGTCTCGAACTTCTGGGCTCAAGCAATCCTCCAGCCTTGATCTCACAAAGTACTGGGATTTTAGGAACAGTTTGATGTTTGCCAGAGGAGTGTTCACAGTGACCTTATAGAACATGACTATACCGTGAACAATGAGAAGCAATTGTATATTTAAAATCATTCCTAGGGAAAACTTGGACAGAATCTTCTGGGATTCTTCTGTATCCTCTGACTGCTTTCCCATCTTTCTCCCCATAGGCCGCCCTGACCCTCCATCAGGATTAAAGGTTGTGAGTCTGACCCCACACTCTGTGGAGTTGGAGTGGAAGCCTGGCTTTGATGGGGGCCTGCCACAGAGGTTCTGCATCAAGTGGGTCCTTGTCGAGGCAGGAAGGAAGGGGAGGCAGCCAATGGGCTGGGGCACTTCCCTGAACTTACTATCCCCCCTGTCCTGCAGGTATGAGGCCCTGGGGACTCCAGGGTTCCACTATATGGATGTCCTACCACCCCAGGCCACCACCTTCACACTGACTGGTCTGCAGCCTTCTACACGATACAAGGTCTGGCTGCTGGCCAGCAATGCCTTGGGAGACAGTGGACTGGCTGACTAGGGGACCCAGCTTCCCATCACTACCCCAGGTGGGAAAGAAGGCTTGAGTAGGTTGGAGTGTGCCTCAGAGGATGTGTAGGGTAGTACAGTGAAGTCAATAAAATTCCCTTTTTATGATGAGTTACTGAGGCCTAGAGCTGTTAAACAAATTGTCCAAGGTCACACAGCTAGTAAAAGATAAAGACGAGACTGAAACTCGGGCAGATGAACTGGAGACCAGCCGTTAACCACAACCCATACTGTCTGAATGTGATTAATGACCAAGGGAAATTAGAAAACAGTTTGAATTAAATGAAAATGAAAACATATAAAAATTTGAGGTTGCAGTTAAAGCAGTATTTAGAGGGAAATATATAGTATTAAGTGCTTATTTTAGTTATTTATTTTATTTTTTATTTATTTTATTTTTTTGAAACGGAGTTTCACTCTTGTTGCCCAGGCTGGAGTGCAATGGTACGATCTTGGCTCACTGCAACCTTCATCTCTCAGGTTCAAGCGATTCTCTTGCCTCAGCCTTCCGAGTAACTGGGATTACAGGCATGTGCCACCATGCCTGGCTAATTTTGTATTTTTAATAGAGACGGGGTTTCACCATGTTGGTCAGGCTGGTCTCGAACTCCTGACCTCATGATCCACCTGCCACGGCCTCCCAAAGTGCTGGAATTATAGGCCTGAGCCACCACGCTCAGCCTTACTTTTTATTTTTGAGATGGCGTCTCACTCTGTCACCCAGGCTGGAGTGCAGTGGTGCGATCCTGGCTCGCTACAACCTCCGCCTCCCTGGCTCAAGCAATTCTCCTGCCTCAGCCTCCTAAGTAGCTGGGATTACAGGCATGTGCCACCACGCCTGGCTAATTTTAGTATTTTTAGTAGAGACGGGGTTTCACCATGTTGGCCAGCCTGGTCTTGAACTCCAGATCTCAAGTGATCCACCTGCCTTGGCCTCCCAAAGTGCTGAGATTACAGGCATGAGCCACCATGCTTGGCCAGTTTTTGTTTGTTTGTTTTTGTTTTGAGACACAGTTTTGTTCTTGTTGCTCAGGCTGGAGTGCAATGGTGCCATCTCAGCTCACTGCAACCTCCGCCTCCCAGGTTTGAGCAATTTTCCTGCCTCAGCCTCCCAAGTAGCTGGGATTACAGGCATGCGCCACCACGCCTGGCTAATTTTTGTATTTTTAGTAGAGACGGGGTTTTACCATGTTGGCCAGGCCGGTCTTGAACTCCTGACCTCAAGTGATCCACCTGCCTTGGCCTCCCAATGTGTTGGGATTACAGGTGTGAGCCACCACGCCTGGCCTAGTTTTTTTTTTTTTTTTTGAGAATCACCTCGAATGCATATTCTAAGTTTTCATCTTAAGAAAGCATGGCTCATGCCTGTAATCCCAGCACTTTGGGAGGCCAAGCCGGGTGGATCACCTAAGGTTGGGAGTTCGAGACCAGCCTGACCAACAAGGAAAAACTGTCTCTACTGAAAATACAAAATTAGCTGGGCGTGGTGGCACATGCCTGTAATCCCAGTTACTTGGGAGACTGAGGCAAAAGAATCACTTGAACCTGGGAGACAGAGGTTGCAGTGAGTGGAGATCATGCCATTGCACTCCAGCCTGAGCAACAAGAGCAAAACTCCATCTCAAAAAGAAAAAAAAAAAAAAAAGAAAAAAGAAAGAAAGAAAGAAACTAATAAAAACAAATTAAACCCAAAGTAAAAAGAAAGAAGAAAATAATAATGGTAAGAGCAGAAATGAATGAATTAGAAAACAGAAAAACAATTGGGAAAAATCAATGAAACCGGAAGCTGGTTATTTGAAAAAAAATCAGTAACATTTATGAAGCTGATTAAGACAAAAAAAGAGAGAAGATACAAGTTACCAATAACAGGAATGGAAGAAGGGATATTACCACAGACTCCACAGACATTAAGAGGATAATAAGGGAATATTATGAATGACTTTATTCCAATAAATTCAGCAAGTAGGATAAGAAGGACAAATTCCTTGAATATGATGAATATGTTACAATTCTGATAGGTACAGTATTGCAATGGTTAATCCTTACAGAGCCTGGTTCAGAGAAGCTTGGGTTCAAATCCCCTCTCTGCTACCTCCTAGTTGTGTGACCATAGGCAAGTGTCTCACTTTCTAAAAATATATTATATAGCACAGATCTTTGTGGCTCAGTTTCTTTTTCTTTCTTTTTTCTTTCTTTTGTTTTTTTTCCCTTTCTTTCTTTCTTTTTCTTTTTTCGTGTGTGTGTGTGTGTGTGTGTGTGTGTGTGTGTGTGTGACGGAATCTTGCTCTGTCACTCAGGCTGGAGTACAGTGGCATGATCTCCATTCACCGTAACCTCTGCCTCCCAGGTTCAAGCAATTCTCCTGCCTTAGCCTTCCAAGTAGCTGGGATTACAGGTGCATGCCACCCCACCTGGCTAATTTTTGTATTTTTGGTAGAGACGGGGTTTCACCATGTTGGCCAGACTGGTCTCAAACTCCTTACTTCAGGTGAGCCACCTGCCTCAGTCTCCCAAAGTGCTGGGATTACAGGGGTGAGCCACCACTCCCGGCTGCAAGCTTCTTCTTTCTGTTTTCCTCTTCCTGACAGAGCAGGCTTTTTCTCAATGTAAGGAAGGACACTTTCTCATCTCTACAATCTTCTCTGCTCTTCCCCCTACCCCATTCCTGTCTTCCCTTTGAACACTAAAACATAAAGTATGACACTTGCCTTCTTTGCTTTAGAACTTATACTTCTATTAAGGGATCGAGAGCCCAAAGTCTTTTTTGGTTAACTCAACAAATTGATAATTCAGGTGAAAAGGATCTTGTACACTGAAAGCGCTCATCAACAATTAATTTTTGGGCCAGGCGTGGTGGTGCATTCCTGTAGTCCCAGCTAGTCAGGAGTCTGAGGCAGGAGGACAGCTTGAGCCCAGGAGGTCAAGGCTGCAGTGAGCCATGATCATGCCATTACACTCAAGCCTGGGCCACAGAGTGAGACTCTGTCTCTTTAAAAAATAAAATAAAATAAAAAATAAAAAATTGGCCAGGCACAGTGGCTCATGCCTGTAATCCAGCACTCTGGAAGGCCGAGGTGGGTGAATCACAAGGTCAGGAGTTCGAGACCAGCCTGGCCAACATGGTGAAACCCCATTTCTACTAAAAAAGTTAGCCGGGTGTGGTGGCAGGCGCCTGTAGTCCCAGCTACTTGGGAGGCTGATGCAGGAGAATTGCTTGAACCTGGGCGATGGAGGTTGCAGTGAGCCAAGATTGCGCCACTGTACTCCAGCCTGGGTGACAGAGCAAGACTCTGTCTCGGGGAAAAAAAAAATTATCTGGGCGCAGTGGCTCAGGCCTGTAATCCCAGCACTTTGGGAGGCTGAGGCAGGCAGATGGAGTCTTGCTCTGTCAACCAGGTTGGAGTACAGTGGTACAATCTCAGCTCACCGACTTAGTGTTAAGTTGTAATCTCTATATCCATCCCCAGGTCTGGACCAGCCTTCCAGAGAACCTGAAGACCAGTTGCCCATAGAGCCGCCTGCAGGCAAGTCCTCTGTCCCCTGATCCCTCCCGTCTCCCCAAAGGAGACGTCTCTTTGTCTTTGACCCTACCTGCTCTGCTCGTAGTCACAGCTGCTTAACAACTTAGTTCTGGCCGAGCTCAGTGGCTCATGCCTTTGGGAGGTCAAGGCATGTGATCTCTTGAGCCCAGGAGTTGAGACCAGCCTGGGCAACATGGTGAGACTCCATCTTTGCAAAAATAAGAAATAGCTGGCTGTGGTGGCATGTGCCTGTAGTCCCGACTACTCAGAAGGCTGAGGTGGGAGGATTATGTAAACCCAGGAGTTGGAGGATACAGTGAGCTATGACTGAGCCACTGCACTCCAGCCTTGGGAACAGAGGGAGACCCTATGTCAAAAAAATAAAATAGGCCGGGCGCGGTGGCTCACGCCTGTAATCCCAGCACTTTGGGAGGCCGAGGCGGGCGGATCACAAGGTCAGGAGATCGAGACCATCCTGGCTAACACTGTGAAACCCCGCCTCTACTAAAAATGCAAAAAATTAGCCGGGCGAGGCGGCGGGCGCCTGTAGTCCCAGCTACTCGGGAGGCTGAGGCAGGAGAATGGCGTGAACCCGGGAGGCGGAGCTTGCAGTGAGCCGAGATCGGGCCACTGCACTCCAGCCTGGGCGACTAAGCGAGACTCTGTCTCAAAAATAAAATAACATAAAATAAAATAAAATAAAGCTTTTTTTAAAAAAAAAA